GGTTCCATGATTATTATAGGGGTGAAAATTTCCTGTCATCTAGCAGTTTCACTGAATCTTCTCTATGTTTAGGTACATAAACACGACTGTGTTACAGCTGCCTACAGTATACTCTCTACAAGTTTGTAGCTTAGAAGCAGGACATTTACCATACAACCTACAGGCTGCACCCTCTAAGTATCCAGGAAATCACATTCATCAGAATATTTCTCTGTCATTAAGCAACATGTTACTACAGTCACAAAACTGATACACTGGAGAAAAATACCCATTTTTAAGCGATGACTGATTTGAGTTATAACATGATCAATTTTGAACACTAAGTATTTCCTGGTCAACTAAAGATCCTTAAGAATAAAAACTATAGTCAATTCTCAGGGTCTACTGTTGGATGATTTCTTCTACATAGAAACCCTGCTGCTCCTTTTAAAAACTGGAAAAAGAACATGGACGTTTTGCTATCCCAACTGACACAGGGCAAACTGCAGGTAGGCATGCCCCAAAGTACTCTCACAATGAAACTGAACTTGGACTTTAGCACTGCACTTCCCTCTTGAAGGGGTGATGAATGGCTTGTTCACAGATGTCACTGAATCAGCAGATCCTATTTCTCTGCATGTAAAATGGGGTAGGGAGGCACTGAGGCCTAAATGACCTAGCAAGTGTGAGGAAGGACCTAGCAAGCACCTGGTCAGATACCAGTTACTTCAACAAGGACGAGAGATCATCATCTCTAGAAACAAACATGTTATTATGCTAACCACGAAAAATCTGAAAGCATGGTCTAATCTCACATTCTTTCACTGACTTAAAACATGAACACCATTTTACGTAAGATCTAAGTTACACATCAAAGAATTGATTTAACAAAATTCCAATAGAAGCAAATTCAAGGTACAATGTGAAGGACTTCATGATATACTCTCCCATCTCTACCACCTGTCTTATAGAAGATTTACAAAAATTTTGGTGATTTAATGCCACCAAGATTTAAAAATAAACATCTGTCATTCACTGAAGTTTCAAAGGTTATGATGACTCACGGCGAACAAGAGGAAATACTCTCGGATTTAAGCTAAAGCCAAGTTCAAATTAGGCTGTTCAATGTTCTAAACAAAACTAGTTCAAGTAAAGGTGAACTTTTAATGGCCAAAGAAATACAATTATAACTGTACAAAAAAGTACAGTTTTTACTCCATCAAAGAAACATTCGGTCCCTGCACAGTGATGCACACCTGTAATCCCAGCAACTCAGGAGGCTGAGGCAGGAAGATCACAAGTTTTAGGTCAGCCTGGGCAACTTAGCAAGATCTTATCTCCAAATGTGAAAAGAGCTAGGGATATAGCTCAGTGGCAGAGCATCGCTGGGTTCCTTCTCCACATGGAAAACAAACAAGCACACTACTGCCTGAAAAAGGAGTTCTCTGAGCAAGGACAACAGGAAATTATACCTTTCTGTCCATTCATAAAACATCAGAAGACCAACAAGATGGTAAATTTTTGTATGAGAAATGCCTTTATCCAATAGTTAAGTGTTCCTATCAATTCTTTTACCAGTGTTTAACCTTCTTTTAAAAAAACCGTCATTACCACACACTAAAGTTTTTATTTATTTTTGATGTACAATTCTTATGTTAAAACACATTACCACCACCACCTCCAGCAAACAGAACAGTTCCACTAACCCAAGAAGCTCACTCTGCTGTTCACATGTCCACACCTACTCCTCTCTACTCCTGACGCCAGTGAGTGGCCCCCAATGTTGCCGTTTATCTTCACAAGAACCACTCATTTGAACCTGGCTTCCTATACTCAGCCTAAAACCCCTGTAAAAGATTCTTGTTTAAGTTGATTCACATATCAATCAATAGTGCCTTCCTTTTAATTACTAAGTAGTACCCTATAGAATGGATCTAGTTTATTGCACACACTTACTAAACGATATTCTGATTGTTCCAGTTTGGGAGTGGGATTGCTGGGTCACACAAATATTCTTAATCTCATAAGAAACCATCAAACTATTTTCTAGAGAAATGGTCTCATTTTGTATTACCACCAGCAAGTAGGTATAGATTCCAGATGCTCAGCATTCTTGCTAGCACTTGGTTTTGCCAGCTTTTTATTTTTCCCTTTCTAATAGGCATACAGGGATATCTCATCATGGTTTAAGATTTCTAACCATTTTAGTGGTATCTTAAAAATAACAGTATACACTGCCTCACTCCTTAAACAGACAACACTGAAGATACAGTTTTCTAACTCACTCAAATCATCATTGTAGAATAAACATTGCACTACCCTCAGGGACTACTAAAGTACATACATAGGGCTGTTTTTCTTTTTCTAAAATAGCCCCAGAATTATGTCTGCTTTTTATAGCTTTTAAAATCTTCTCCCTTGTCACTGCTTGCTATTAATGGTGCTCCTGCCTCTGGCAGACTTTCCTCTTCACCCTCTTCTCAAGCTGAGTCGAGAAAATAGATAACGGAGCTTGTTAAATTACATCTAAAAAGGAGAGGGCAGTCTGGAAGTGAGAGAGCTTAAAGGGTTCTTCAGTGAAGAAAGAGAAGGATATTTTTTCCTGTTATTATACCTGAACTTCCTGACAACCCACTTGCTTGCTGAGAAATTGCTAGGAGGCAAATTTATTAAGCATCTTTTTAAAAAGGTGAGGTTGCAAGGGAAGGGACCATCAGATAGTGAAGTCATGACAATATTAATCTGTGCAATTAACACTATACCGTGATTCTGTGTCAGGAATCAACAGCTCATCTAAAATAAAACCTAGGGCTGGGGATGTGGCTCAAGCGGTAGCGCGCTCGCCTGGTATGTGTGAGGCCCGGGTTCGATCCTCAGCACCACATACCAACAAAGATGTTGTGTCCGCCGAAAACTGAAAAATAAATATTAAAAAATTCTCTCTCTCACTGTTAAAAAAAATCATTACTAAAATAAAACCTAGACAAAATTACTCTGCAACCAGAAATCTAAGCAAAAGATCATCTTAAATGTGGTTTAAATCCAGTTTCCAAACATAGATCAAAATTCTGATCAAGTCCTAGGTGTATGAGGCATTTAAAGGGACAAAAGATAAAGAGAATTTACAGTTAAAAACAAATCCGATTGTTCTTTCAAAAGATACAGCAACCCTATATATACAGACTGATTCTAAGCCAAAGTAATATTTTTAGTGTTCCCTTCAAAGTCACTGACTAGTTAGGCCACAGCCTGTAATATCACCAAAAGCAAATGAGTAAAGCTCCTGCTGTCTCCTAAGTGGTGTCTCCCAGCTCTGAAGACAAAACTATGAACACTAAGACGCTCCACTGGAGGTGGATCACGGAAAAGAAATGGCACCACTTTCCCTCTCCCAGAGCCCAGGCTGCCTCTGAGAAAATGTGAGCAGCACACACTGTCTCTCACCCGAACTTCCTGAGGAATGGCAGGCAGAGTATCTGCCAGGCTCATGGGCCAATCACCACTGCTCCTGCCGCTTCTATCTACAGCCTTAAAACCATTTCACCAATGGGATTGCAACTGGTGAAACTGCAACAGAATCCTGGGTGGGACTTCCGCTATCATTTTAGGCTTAACTACCACCATCTCATCACAGGCAGTGGGGGCAATCAGGAAGAGGGAGAATTTCACAAACTTTGAACTCGGGCACAGTTTCAAGAGAAATAGAAAGGACAAGTTGGAAGACAGTGGAGCAAGTGCTAAAAAAACCGATACCATACCCCCCCCCMAAAAAAAAACTGTTTTGAGGAAAAAGCAAGCGATCAAAACTTTAAGTTCATGATCATTTATGTACTTATTTTGCTAGTTAATTGTGGGTCCTCACATTCCTCTGGCCCAGTTTTGGCCTCACAACCCTCTGCCACAGGAAGAGCAGAAGGCTGACAATGTGGAGCTCTGATTACCCACCAGTCAGGGCACTGCTGAAGGTCACTGAACACTCAACTATGCACCAGAAAAATAAATCCTGCAAGTTCAGGCCTGTAATTGCCTGATCCCCAAACCTTTACCTCTAATTTTGAACTCCTTCTGCATCAGATACATAAAACTGAACTAGTTTAAAAACAGTCTGTCACAAAACTGACAAAAATCTTATCCTGTCAAGTTTTACAACTCCTGGGAATCAAACGCAATAAAAGAAAAGAAAAGAAGAGAAACCACCACCACAGACACAGACACTCTCCAAAGGCACACTCCATCTTCAAAGGCACGGGGGCAAGGTTCTGCGCTCTGAATTAGAGGCCAATGCGCGGGCCTTACACAAGATTCGCCTCCCACAGCTATGGAGGCAGCACTGCCATTTCCAACTGCTTCTCCCCATGGCCCTGGAGATGCCCCCACTATTACTACTCATCCTTCAGGCTTCCAGCAAAAACCTGTTGCTAGGAAAGGAAGGACTAAAATCGAAGAATGCATAGACTCATATACTGTTCAAATCAAACGCGAGTGAGTAGCCTGCCCACCTCCAAAAGGAGAGGAAACACTAAGGACATGAGTATCGACACCACCAATGCCAGTTCTGGTGCAGGGCTCTCACCGACGCTCAGTATCCTCAGTCGTCGAGGAGGCCCGAGCAGGCCAGGGAGGAGGGACGGCCGCGGGCGGACTTGAACAGTGCGCGGCCCGAACTGCCGGACCTCCATCTGGCGCCTGGGGGCTGGCTCCAGGCACGCTCTCCCGAGTCCCCCGCGCGCCACTTTGGCGACACGCTGCGCCCGGGAGAGAGGCCTGGGACYCGGAGGGAAGGCGGTGCGGCCTACTACCCAGTCCTTGCAAAGAGGGAGGACCCCCCCCAGGCCCAGTCCAGGCTTTCCCTGGACTCCGGCCCAGGCCTGCCCCTGGTCCAAGTGACCGCAGGCCCAGCCCTGACCCTGGGCACCCAGGACCCCAGGCGGAGGGACCTCGGCCCCCCTAGACCCTGGCCCACCCTGGCCCACCCGGGGCCCCCAGCCCCGAGGACCCCCGGCCTCGCGGCCCGGCCGCACCTTGACGTGGAAGCGGATGAGCGCCAGGCGGATGCAGTGGGCCATGCAGACGGGCGGCAGGAACCAGACCTTGGGCGGCGGCGTGCCCTTGTTCTGGACATGGCTGACGATCTGCTGCGCCGTCTGGCGCTCGTTGCCCTGCCGCTTGACCCACTCGTGCAGCCGGGCCTTCTCGAGCGCGCCGTTGAAGAAGACGAAGAGCTCGATGTTGCCGCCGAAGCAGGCCTTGGCCAGCGCCGCCAGGTAGCCGAGCATGTGGTTCCACTGGCCGCCGCTGACCCAGTCGGTGTAGAAGCCGCCGTACAGGCGGTGCAGGCAGTTGTCGGCGTCCACCAGCAGGCGCAGCGGGGTCTGCGGGGGCCGCTGCCGCCCGCCGCCCACCAGGCTGCCCCGGGCCAGCTTCTGCAGCTCCACCGGCACCACGGCGCTCGGGCAGTGCTTCTCGATGTAGTCCTGGAAGCCCTGCACGCCCATGGCGGCGGCGGGGCGGGCGCGCGCGGGCGGCGGGGCCGGCGGCGGCGGGGCGGGGGGCGGCGGGGCCGTGGCGGGCCGGCGCGGGCGGCCTCTAGGGCGGGCTGGGGCGGGCCGGGGGCGCGCTCACGGCCGCCGCGGCCGCCATGTGCTGCCGCCTCCCAGGGCCATGTCTGGGGAGGGACCTGCCGCCGCCGCGCTGCGAGGCCGAGGCGAGGCTGGGCCGGGCGGGGCGGCGCTGACGTCGGGCCCGCCCGCGCGGACGCCGGCGGGGCGGAAGAGGCGGCGCCGGACGCGGCCGGCTCCCGGGGCGGCGGCGGCCGAGGAGGAGGAGCGCGGGGCGCGGGAGGCGCGGCCTCGCTTCCCGGGCCTCGGGGGCCGCGGGCGGGCGGGCGGGCTGAGGCGGCGCCCGGGCGGAGCAGGCCGCGTCCCGGGGCCCCGAGCCGCCCCGCCCCGCCCGCGCTGGCCCTGAGGGCCCGAGAAGCGAGGCCGCGCCTCCCGCGCCCCGCGCTCCTCCTCCTCGGCTGCCGCCGGCGCCGCCCGCGGGGCTCGGGCGCTGGGAGGCCGGGCGGCGCTGCGGAGGGCGGCGGCAGCAAGATGGCGGCGGCGCGGCGCGGCCGGGCCCGGCCGTGGGGCAGGTGTGCGGGAGCCGCGGGGCGCGCCGCTCGGCACAGGCGCACAGCGGGAGTCCCGGAGGGACGCCCCGAGCGCGCAGGTCCGCGCCGGCCGTGCGCGGCCGCTGTCACCCGCGCCTCCAGAGGGGGCGCCGCGCGCCCGCGGAGGCACTGCACCTGCGCTGCCGAGCGRCGTCGGTGCCGCGGGACCCGGGTGCGCCGGGACGGCTGCTGCGGCGAGGCTGGGACCTGCGTGCGTGGGACCGCCACCTCAGGTTCATAATCTTCCCGGGCGCCTAACGTGGCATTTGGCTGCCTTCAACTCTCCGCTTTTCTCTGGAGAGACCTGGGGGGAGGCGGGATGCACCTGACGCGCGGGTGACCCGCACCAGCGCCGGCCTCCACCCCGCGCGCCAGTGCAGGCAGAGGCCAGCCGCACCTCAGTTTCTGTGCTTACCCCAAACTCAAGCCGCCACTCTGGTAGGTATGGAAGTCAAGTGCGCTTGGTGTTCTGACTAGTTCTCTTTCACCACCGGCCACTCATGCACAAAATAGTGATGAATTACATGTTACTTTTTTAATCTATTTAAAGCCATGTTAAATAAAAACGCCCAGAGCAGTCAGTAAGATTGACCAGCTGTTGTAACCACTCGTGTTATTCTCGTTAGTAGCACTGCGTTTCATATATTTATTCGTTTTTTGTTGTTGTTGTTGTTTGTTTTTTTTTTTACGTTGCTGGGCCTGGACCCCACGTGCTAGGCCAGCACTCTATCACTGATCTACATACCCATCCTATTTTTATTTATTTAAATATTATTTCTTTTGATTTTARAAAATTGTCTTGGTGCCATTATCTGGGATTCTGGAAATTATTTTCACCTTCAGACAGTGTAAAATGCTAAGATTCTGGAGATAGACCACCAGATCTGTCTCATCTTAACTCTGTGCTCTCTCTAGAAGCCTTTAGAATGCAGTTTTTATCATCTGTAAAATAAGGATTACTCAAAGATCTTACTTCCCAGTTTATACAAATATGCAATAAACGTTGGGTTTTATTCCAACTATTTCAATATACTATAATTGTGTAGACTTTATGCTTGAGAACATGGACCATTTATTTTACCATTTGAAAGTTTAAAATATTCATAAATTATGCTTACTTTTCCTATTTAACTGTTGACCTTTATTTTTAAAAAATTTTAGCATTATTAATGGCTGACAAAACATTTTAGATACACTATGTAAAATTTAGGGGTTGGGTGATATTTACATTTTCTAAATCTCAAAATGAAAGAAAATATATTTAAAGTTGAATAAAAAGTCACATGTGCTTGAATTTATAATAGAACAACTAATGATTGGGGATTTTCATTTCCATCCCTTTAATCTTTGGAAATCATAAGAGAAACTTTAAAATTCAGGAAGAGATTGCCATACCAGTGAGGGGGGAAAAAAGAAAAATGCTAAAAAATACATGGGGATGCTTCACAAAAATTATGTTTTTGAAAACTCAGAAAAAAGTGATAATTAATAGAGCCAACCCAGGATGTTCAGAAATTATCAATATATGGCAAACCAAGGAGATATTCTTTCAGCTTTTCCTTCATTTTCACTAGTTGGTTTCTTTCAGTCAATTCATCTATAACCCAAAGCAGGAAACAATTGTTTCAATTGCTCAATTCTTTCCAAACCAATGTGTTTTATAGTAGAATGATATCTTAAATTTATATTCCACTAAGTTGAGTCCTGTATTCACCAGCAATAACAGGTGAGTTTTCACTTTTTCAAGTAAGATGACAGAGACCTGGCTCCTACCAGGTCTTGCGGTAGGATAGAGGAACTGGACTGGGGCTAAGCTTAAACTCTGTGACCAGGGAAAAGACAGAGTAATCCATGCTTGGGATTTGAATGCCTAATGTTTCCTAGCCCCAGGCCTAATCTGTTAATTGATTGTCATCTTAATTTACCTGGAAGAGCACAGGTTTTTCTCAACAGTCTGAGGATTTTGATGTTTTGATGGTTTTTATACTCTAAAGTTAGAAAGTTTTTTTTCTTGTTTTTTTTTTTTTTTTTGGCTTTAGTTGTGTGGATTAAGAGTCCTATTCTCTTGCTTGTAATCCAGTGTCTGGGGAGGCTGAGATAGGAGGATTGCAAGTTCAAAGCCAGCCTCAACAATGGTGAGGCGCTAAGCAACTCAGTGAGACCCTGTCTCTAAAACACAAAATAGGGCTGGGGAGGTGGCTCAGTGGTTGAGTGCCCCTGAGTCCAATTCCTAGTACCAAAAAAAAAAAAAAAAAAAGAAGAAGAAGAAGAAGAAAGATGTGAAGGAACAGGACATTTAGTAGTGCTTTGGGCATTTCTCAGTACTGCCACCACAAGCAATATTGAGTGTCATTTCACTCTTCAAAGATGGAAGAGTCTTTACCCACCTACTCATTTCACAGATCTGAATATGGAGGTTGAGAGGGGAAAGTGCCATGTCCAGTCAGTGATGTCAATAACAAAACAACAGCTCACTCGCTGAGCACCTGCTATATGTAGGCCAGCTACTGGGATTATGGACACAGAGAAATTGGTCTATTTTTCAGGCAGCTCAGCCTAGCACACTAGACAGCTGCATAAACAGATCACAGTGTACTCAGGGGTCTCAGATTCAGGAACACAGTCATCCTGGGATTAGTGGAAACTCCCTGATTGGGGAGAAGGTTCTACCTCAAGTGCAGATAGCCTCAGTGTGGCACTATACCCTGAGCCTAGGAGAGCCCAGTGCTGGGAAAGAGGAGACAGTCCTGGCTCCCTTCTGTTCACAACTGCCTCCACCTAAACCTCTGCAGCTACAGTTTGTGGTGCAGAGAGAACTGGCCCAGTCTGGGAGCTGAGAGCCTGGGGCATCCACCTACCACATCAGTGTAGTCAGGAGTAAGGATTTCAGCACAATTATTTGTGAGGTCATCATATACAAAGGCACCTCCAGTTTGTTAAACTAGGAAACACAATAAAATGTTTAAAAATCAAAATTTCTATGTCACTAATACATTGACTAAACATCCTGACATTTTTCTTGAGGAACACTGTCCAAAACAATTTTTTCTTATGGAAATTATTTGTACTAATTTTGTAACCACTAACCCTATGTGCCTAGAACAACTGAAAAACTAAATTTTTAAATTGAACTTAAATAACCTCATGAATCTAATGGCTACCATATTGGAAGATCTTAATTCCTAAGGGCCCTTACACCAGCAGACCCCATATTAGATTATGTTAGTGTTCATTAGTTTGTTCAATAAATTAGTCATACCTCGTTATAACCTTATTTGTGCAGTGTTTTATGCTTCATAAATTACTTTCCTTCCAAAATCTCCTCTACTCTCTTATTAGATGGCTGCCAACTTCTATAAATGTGGAAATGTTAAGGCTTACCCCCTAAACAACTATTTATATCACTTCACTCAAAAAGTTCTCACCACCTGGGATATTCTACCCGATAGCTCTTCAGTTTTTCAATAATCTTAAGGATACTTTGCTTGTACCAGACACAACTGTCAATTTATTGCCTGGTCAGTACTGTGCATTTATTATTTCTTGAGATCTGGGTAGGTCTGTGAGTGCAGACTAGGCTGAGTTACCATTACAGCAGATGTCTCTCACAGGTTTGAACTTGTAGTCAGACAGCCAAATTAACTGAAAAGACCATGTAAACCCCTACCTTGAGATATACGATTCCATGTTACTGTAACAGTATTTTGCTTTTAGGTCATAGGCGGCAAAAATGACTCTCCCTAATATAAGCAAAAAGTAACTTATTACAAAGATTAAGAACTCAAAAATCAATCTATGAAAGTGGGAGAACCATTATTAGAAAGGGGTGGGAACTAGTAGATGTAACACAGCCCAGGTTCTAACAACATAGGGAACTGCAGTCTTTTCTTATCCTGTAGTCAGGTGCTCAATATTCAAAGTCATGGAAAAAGTAAAATGGGCCAAACATCTCTTTGGCTTGGCAGTGAAAAGCCAAAGCTTCTTTGGCTTTAATTTGAAGAAGCAGATACTTTGAATGACAATCTCACCAGAACTGTGTACAACTTCAGAGAAAAATCTGGGTACTTTTAGCTGAACATACATGATAAGCCTCTTATGTACCCTGTCCTTAGAAGACACAGAAATCATAAAGCTATGCCTTCTAAGTCTTAAGCCACTGATTAGAAACTGATTGATTGCCAAGTCACTTGTCTAAAGAACTATCCTATTTTGATTTGATTCATTTTCCCTTTCCCCCCATTTGTTTAACACTACAGATACACCTACCTACGCCAAGAAATCACTATCTACATTTTTTTAAATTTTCGAGCCTCAGTCATCTCAGCCCCAATTTTTTTTTAAGTTGTTGATGGACCTTTTTTATTTATTTATACGTGTTACTGAGACTCAAACTCAGGACCTCACACATGCTAGGAAAGTGTGCTACCGCTAAGCCCCAGCCCCAGCCCGGCCACAGCCCTATGTCTACATCACAAAGACTCTCGCAAGATCATGGATAGCCTTACTGCTAGGAAAATACTACAACATTTCTATCTCAAATCTTGAAG